GGGATGAGCATTCACTGAAAGATGACTGTATTTTGGAAAAGCTCCTAAGAGGTTCTAACAGACTAATGTTATCTTTACAATGTCATCTTCAGCTGTAAGCCATTGAAGGCCCAAAAGACTTGGCTTTACATGACACTCACTTGAGTCAAGTCCTACTCTGTATCACCTTAAAGTTACACAAATTCTTGGTAAAAACTAATTTTGCCATGTGTATTTTCAAGAACATGAAATGCTCTAAGAAAAACATCAAATAATAACTTACATTAAGTCGCTGAAATCCCCTACTTTAATTATCAAAAAATTAGAGAAGAAAACAAGACTACAGGAAAATTTCAAACCAGTCACGTTATCTTCTACAAAAAGCAGGATTATTAATTTACTTTTAAGATCCTGTTAGCTTTAATCACACTAGTTTTTAAAAAGCATATATTTAAGTGAATAAAGCATTTACTTAGATGGAAACCCAGTATTAAAGATAATACTCTCTTTATTCAAGAAATGAAAATCCAGAACAGTTAAGAGATTTATTTTTTATAGAACTACAAAATGGACTTATCACTGCAGGGTATGGTATTGCGTATGTCAAAGTATTTAGGAAAAACTAGGGACTGAACCAAGCTGTCCTCAAACTAAAAGATTGAAATATACAATAAAAATTGTTTAAATGTACTTTTATTGTTATTATTTTAAACAAAATCAAAAAGGATTCCTGAAAAGGAGCAAATGTAGAAAAGCAAGCAACTAAAACTTCACACCTTAGTTTGTATTAAGAGACCATTATCAAGTAATCTATTTTTTTTCAGTGCTAGATTTTTACCTTATATCTTCTATTTACAATACCAACTTTATATACGAATTAACTGTCCACATGTTGTTATTTAGCATTATGGTTTCCTTTCAGAACAGAAACAAGAGAAGGGAAAACACAAAAGTGTGTTCCTATTAATAAGGAATGATATTTCCCGATACAAAAATTTCCCCCAAAGAAAAGTCCCTTTTTAAAGATAAGTAAATAGTTTAGGGAAAGATATGCATAAGATGTGCAGAAGTGGAGAGACAGCAAAATGAGGCTACAGCATCAGGACGTCAGGGAAAAGCACGGTCATAAATAACAGTATTTCAGGTCAACATTGTATCTTTAGCTAGAGGGAGGCTGTATCCAGTTATTCCATCCTACAGCATTACCAATATCTACTACTATAAATTCTGAATGTTATTTTATTAACAGCCATGTTTGGGTTTTTGAAAAAAGTTAGTATTAAATAGTACAATGTTATAGCCAGGATTTCTGCAAAATTCAGAAAATCAACTGGCTATAATTTAATTGCAACTGTGGGAATTTGCATGCAGATTTTTCCAATGCCATAAAGTCAGAGGCCATTAATTTTCCATTGTCCTCTATGGTAAGCAACAAAAGTATTGTAAAAGCAAGATGCAAGAATACAAACTGACTGTTAGAAAAATATTACCTGTTTCTGAAGGAACTACAGGTATAAAAAGAAAAAAAGAAAAACAATAAAAATGATCAGATAAGATAAAAAAAGATAATGAAGATGTCCTTCATGCTCTGCCTTATAACATCCAATTTAGGGAAAAGAGGGTACAGGGGAAAAGGTTTAAGAGTATCCTCTGCCTCCAAATCTTCCCTTCCCATTCAGAGCAGAAACCTAATTGTTTTGGGACAGTGGTGCCACCTGGTGGTGATCGGAAGGAAATGTCAACAATTAGCAGCCTCTCTTGGATATCCTCTCAGCCCCCACACCCAGCAAACAGGATTATGTGCTCTGCTCCTTTTCCTTTTTCTCTCTCAGTCAGTTATGACTCTGAAAAATCAAAGTTGCCCAATAATTTTTTAAATGTCCAGAATAGTGTTAGAAAAAGTAATATGCTATGACATGCTGTAAGTTAATAAATATAAATTTAAATTAAAACTATAAAAATGACATAAAACTAGATGAAACTTAAAAATCATTATCAGACTTAACATCAGAAGCCCTCAAATGTGCTTTCAGAAGTCTTCATCACTAAAATCATCAGCTACCCATTCCATCTCAATTAAATCTGCTTTTTCTCAAACACTGAAATTCTAGATAAAAAACTTATTTCAATGATATTGTTCTACTTTGATCAATATTAATACTATGACAATTCTCAATGACTTTAAAAGAATATTTCTCATCATATGCCATGAGTTTTATGTAAAGCAATCTGTACATGACAGAGCATCAGTTACAGTGGGTACCAATCTAACAACTAGAAACCATTTTTCATTCAGTTTTAGCACTGAGTACCTACAATGTGTTGGTCACTGAGGTTGGATGAGCTGCAGATTCATATTTGACTAAGAAAATCCTCATCTTTTTCTACAGAAGCTCCCAGATGTGGGAGAATAATTTCAGAGGCGAAGCAAATCAAATGTGAAAAGTGCTAAAATATAATTAAGAACAAAGTTCTGAAGAACAAAAGGTTCTGGCTTTAAACGTGACAGCTAACCTAGGCCTTCAAAAATACAAGCAGGAGTTAAGCAGAGGGAAATAAAGGGGTTCTAACATAGACTTGAGCAGCATTAAAAATAATATTTTTCTGAATTGTACACAAGTCCATAGGATTCTCCAGTGAAATGGAATTTGGGGAGATTACCTTTTTACTTTACATTCTTCAGTTCTATGTGCATTTTTACACTATAAACATATACTAAAAATCATGTATTTTATTATACAGATAATATTAAGGAACATGGTATTAAAGAATAACATAAAGAAACAGTGTTTGAGCCTACATGACTACCAGTCTAAAGCAAACAGATATAGTAAGGGATTAATTTATTTGAAAAACAGGGTAACTACAAATCAAAAGCATACAATGGAGTCACAAAAATTAAAAAGAAATCAAGCTAATACAGAAGAAAATAATCAAACCAGAAAAATACCATACGATATCACATGTGGAATCTAGAAAATAAGACAAACTTATCTACAAACAGAAACAGAAAACAAATTTATGGTTACAGGGTTGGGGGTAAGGGGGTGGGAAGGGATAAATTGGGAGTTCAAGATTTACAGATAGTAATATATATGAAATAGATAACAAGTTTATACTGTATCGCACAGGGAACTATATGCAATACCCTGTAGTAATTTATGGTGAAAAAGAATATGAATATGAATATATGTATGTTTATGTATGACTGAAGTATTGTGCTGTACACCAGAAATTGACACATTATAAACTGACTATACTTCAGTAAAAACATATATAAAATAAGAGGAAAACAAAGGGTAACATAAAGAAACAAGTTGCGGATAATGAACACAGTAAGGGCCCAGGGTGTGCAGAATGGAACAGTAAAAGAAACAGGACAAGTGGAGACACTGTCCTCAGAAAGGAGAGAGAAAAAAGAGAAGAATGCAGGGGAATGGGGGCGGGAACAGGGAGCCTCCAGATTAGGGATTCTTAACTTATTTTTCTTTCTATCGATCCTTTCGCATTTTGGGGGAGCCTACGGATTTAAATGCATGAAATACATAGGAAATCAAAAGAGATCAATTATAATGAAATGCAGTTATCAAAATCTAAAAAACCCAATCTGTGCCACAGTAATATATATGCTTTATTACTGATGCATTAAACAGTAAGATCTAATAACTAAGCATAGAGGTAATGAGCATATGCAATATTTTAAGATATCCACATCTGTACAAGTGATAAGAAAGTACTGAATTCTATTTACGCTGAAGTCACAGATACGGCTAACACCAGTGGCTTTTTGCATGTATTAATAATGCAAAGAAAT